TAGTTCTCTTGGTCTTGCTCGAACTTTGAGCCAGGAACACCGTCGTTTTGATTTAAAATACGAGCTTTAGAGGCGTTTGAACTAGAGATGGGCGCATCATCGCCCATATTCATTTACTCGAGAAGCCTGTTTGTTTGTCCTAATCGCTCTAGGGGGTCAAAATTTCGTGACGTCACAAACGCGCAGCGCCATTCAATTAGCTTGTGTAAATAAACGTTCAAGAATTGCTCAAATTACTGTCAACCTATGAATTGATGTTGGTACTTTTTATCGGTCCAAGTGTTTTCAATTCGTGGCATGACACTCCGAGATTCGTCTGAAATTTCGAGCTTCAATAGCGGTATTTGGGAGAAGTTCAGTTATTATCGATTTTCTCGAAAATAAATCGATATTCAGCGAAACGAAGTATGCAGTGATTTTGTTAGCTCAATTGGTAGAGCGCTGCACTAGTATCGCAGTGGTCAGTGATTCGAATCCCGTACAGGCCTGATTTTTTTCAGGTCTGATTTTCGCTATTGCTTAAATAGCGCTATCTACTGCGAGGATCGTGCATCATACGTATGCAGTGCTTTGTTTCACCTAACAGCCGAATCGATTTTTTGGCTATTGCTACCAAATCTTTGATCATTGGGAACATTCGCTGTTAAATCACTCTTTTTTTGTCTCAATTGCAAAATCATTATGAGAAGAAAAAGAGGTTTCTCGTTTTCCTTTACTCTTCCTCATGACTCTGAGAAAAGTATCCAGAGTCTACTACATAGTAAACATCGCAAGATGGACGGAGATAGCCTTCGATCGATCGTTTTGTTTTTCTTGAGTTTAATGCAAGGTTAATTAACGATTCTATCTCCTCTGTTATAAGATGCAGATGTTCTGTAGATTCCAAATTTCTTGGTTGAATGGTATGAACGCTTTCTTGAAAGAAAACCACTCTGTTTTTCGAAACCCCTGCAAAAATGAAAAGGTTTGCGTCGGACAAAATACCGAATCGGAAAAAGGTCGGGTCCTCTGCAGCAAGAGGCAGGAGTTGAACGATTAGCTGCGCCACAGACTGATCTCTTACGTTATCTTGTCGTTTAACTTCTACAACGCGAATCGGTTGGTTACCATAGTACATGATGTAATCAAATCTATTATTGGGAAGAAAACTGCAATTTATGCTTTGCTCACATCAAAGATTAAGTTCGTAGGCGGTACAAAGCGGCTGTAGGATTGCGTCGAGAATTATCCTTGAGTCGGCTTCTGTACGGTCGTCCGTATCATGGAACAGTGTAGGGTTTTCATCAATTCTGCTCTCTCGTTTTCTCTCTCTCCGCTCTCTCTCTTTCTCGCCGCAAAGGGCTGACAGTGACTGTGCAACGTTTCCCTCGACGATGTCGTTCACTTGTGCTGAAGGAAACAAAGAATCATCCTGCCAAGAGGGAGGTTGAATAAAGACAATGTCCTCATACCTTACGTATTTTTGCAGCATTCTCATCGTCCAAGCCGACCCCGAGATGTTACGGTCAGACTTGCAATACAATGCTCCCTGGTAGCGTTTCCACTTAGTTTTCAGATCTTCAAGATCGAATTCACTGTATTCACCACATTCACGACATTCCCACATGCTCATGAGGGTCTGCTCTGCCGAATAAATGTCATTCTCTCTTTCTTTCGTCTTCTGATCATCCTGCATTTTAAGTTCATTCGCGAACCTATTTACGAGGGAAGGCGTATCATCGTATTCATCAAATGGCTTAACATTTCTGGAAGAAGAACCCCACGTTTGGCCATTAAAAGACAAAGGCTTCAAGAAGGTTTCCCAAGACCAATCGTATGCCAGAACTGCCAAGTGAAAATTCGCTCAGACTGATGTTATGGTAATATAATATACATTAGACGTTTTGCTTTAGTATCTTCCACTGAAACCATTACCCATCATCTATACTTGAATCAACTACATAATGTTTTCCCGACTCGAGGCAGTCACGAACACGTCCGAACACGTGAGATGAGGTCTGCTCATGCGCCTTCTTCATAAATGGCGGACGCGCGGCTAAGACCTGAGCCGAGTTCACCAAAACGAGGCTTAGGAGGCATTGCTCCATCTAATGACACTTGGCTTGTTCGAAGTTTTGTGGAATTATTGACTGTTTTCACTGTAGTTTAATAAAAATGGCGTAGTTTAATTGAGGATCCGTTGATGTAACGTAGTTTGACCTTGGCGAATGTTCTGTTATAAATATGACGGAGAGTTTTCCAGTTGATTTGAGTCAAGACGATACTCCTGGAGTGTCTTCAGAGGGAAGAAACCCAGGAGAGCTCAACAGCTCAACAACGATGCCCTGAGGGTTTGGCTAAAATGTAGGGGAGATAAATGCAAAGGGCTGAAAACAAAGGCTCAGCTACTAAAACGGTAGGTTTAAATGTAACGATCGATAGCCAAATATAAGAAGTAATCTAAACGTCTTATGTTGAGCGGGTTAAATATAGTTTGGTTTCGATATCTGAGTAAAATACACTCGAATTCGAAAATTGAGCGAAAATACCGTTTTACAGCATCTCAGTTTCATCTGATATCCCACAGACAACGCAGTCATGATAAATTTTCTCAAGAAATCATGTGCCGAAAGACATTCCATTCTAGACACAGCTCATGGGCTTAAATATGAGCCAGTAGCAATTGACAGGTATCACAAATACATGCACAGTCAAACAACACCAGTACATGTTTTCAAAAGTGGATTTGTTGTATGCACTATTACTCTGATACTGGGATGTTCTACGGATGGAAAGGTAATAGACCCCAGTTGGGAAGATCCGAATGGACTACTTGAAGTCTAGTCCCCCGAAACAAAGTTTCAAGTGAGTCCCCTAGATGCCTGCTCAGACCCTAAGTTCTTTTGTGAGAGGGTTACTATGCCCAAGTTCAGTGCCAGATGGGCTATACTGGTGCACACCGGTGCAATTTTGTTGTTTACACTAAAAAAGGAATGTCAATGGAAAGAATTGCCTTTGCCAGAGGTTACTGGGTTGAGCTTCTGGAGAAGCTTTGGCAATATTATTTTACAAATTTCATTAAGTATGCTGTAGCTGAATTTTCACCATCATGTACAAAAGCTGTGGTGGTGTGACATTCTACAACAGCATCATAATCAAACATTTAATGCATATAATCTCAGAAAGATTTGATAAATATCCTAAGGGGTAAATCCAATAGATTTGAAGCTCACAAAGACTGTAAAATTGTAAGTCTATATCAAAATCACAAACCACTCATTAGTTTTCACTTTTACAGGGCTGGTCAAAAGGCATACTTGAGTGGGTAATTACTTTTTCGATCCTTCAAAAAGGGGTGGGCTGTGTAATTTTTCACTATACATAAGGGCTGGGTCATCTTCTTTTCCCATGTAGAGGGGGAGGTAATCTAATTTCTTACCTCTATTTCGGGGTCAGTCAGTTTTTTTATTCCAAAGGTAAGGGGTTAGGTCATGTGCTCAGGTCCTCCCCCTGTAATTTTTGGGCACTCCTTTACAGGTATCATAATCATTTCAGTGATGTGTATTTCATTGAAAGAAAATAAAAAGCTCCAAGACCTAGATAGTAACCATTACAATAACACACCCTTTTTTAGCCAAAACATTGAACAAGATAAAAATTACAAATCAGTTGTCTAAAGCTTTCTATTGTGTCAGCTTGTTAAAATAGGGTCTTGAATGTTGCAAAGAAATGCACAAACAGACCACATTTGATTTGCAATCCCATAGAGATTCAGTGAGATAATGCTATCCCATATATGAAAAGTTTTAATTTTATTAATTGCACGTTCGACATGGATCCTCAATCGTGCAATCTCCTGAGTTCTCACAACATCCTCTAGGGGCATTTGTGTGGATGTTCCCAAGAATGGTGGAATATTCAAAGAAACACCTTAAGGTAAGATGTCACTTATAGTCAAACCTTTATCTGCCATCACAGAATCTCCTTCATTGAATAGCAGGTGAAGCATGCCTGACCTTTCTACAGTTTCTCTGTCTGATATACTTCCTGTATACAGTTGGATTATGTAAGTGATAGCACCAGTTGGAGAAATTCCCAGAAGGCCCTTTAGTGTA